AGATGTTGGCAATGCAGGGTTTGCAAAACATGAGTGCCAAGAAGAAGAAGGACCAGCAGCAACAGCAGCATGATGCTCACTCTGAAGATGGGTTGGCTTGCATTTGATAATAATGCTAACAACATTTTTGTTTGTTGTGTTGTTGTTTCAATATATTATTTTTATTCATTCACTCTATGTTTTTTTCGTGTTGGATTTAATAGTAAATATTTATCCTCAACCAAATCTGATTTGAAGAGCATGCTGCCATTGCAGTGAATGCTGGCTGGTGTTAACTGCTCAGGTGGAAATGCTTCCTGGTGTAAATGATGATTTCTATCTTGTTAATACTGATTACAACGAACGTTTTTGTATTTTACACGCCAAAGCCTGAAACTTGTTGCCCAAATGATATAAATTAAGTGAATTTTTAAATGATCTCATATTCCCATTAGAAGTAATTCAGATTTCAAAAATTATGGCTAATAAAACATACTGAAAAATTAATTAATTCATAAGGCTGCAAATATAAGGTTTAAATTGAAGTCTAAGAAAAGGTGGTGGTATTGGATTTTCCATTAAAAAACTGAAATTTTACAGCAACAACAACAAAAACATCAATTTACTTGACTCAAAAAAGTGTTCACTGAGGTTGACAGTGTAGGGTCTACGAGTGCCTCATCTAGCACAGAAAAAATACGCCGCCAGAAAGCAGTTTAAATCATGCTGCGGCCAACACATATAAACATTTCCTCACCGAATCGGTCAACAAAACCACTTCCTACATTTCTGCTGGGTTATAATGGACAAAATATAACCACTTGCAGCTGGGATCCAAAGGAATTATTTATTTTGTGTGGTCCACCACTCTGATGTAAATGTATGCGTGGGCATGTAAGTGTGTGTGTGTCTGTAATATGAGATGCTCTCCCGTGAGGTCTCGTTGAAAGTAACATTCGTTAGCTGCATGTCAGAGTTTCGACCACATGAAAATGTTCTTAATATTCGATATTTTAAATTCACGTGATGAAGAGTGTTGAAACATATTTAAAATTTTGATGTATTTTGAAAAATTGACTATGAAAATTCATGATGCAGTGAGGCTAAATTGTTGAAATTTTATTGGTGGAATGTTTTGTTGACCAGGTCAGTAGATGACCAATCTAAGGACAGCGATGCTGATAATGATGTTGATGAGCCCAAAAAACCTCGCAGGCAGAAAAAAACTGCCAACAATATGGTTGGTGATGCTGGCTGATTGATGTGGTTGATGCTGGCTGATTGATGTGATTGATGGTGGATTGGGCGTTTAGTTATTTTGAAATGTTTGGGTTTTATTTCTTTCTGAATGTTATAAGGAGCGCCACATTGTTGTACATTTATTTCATGGTCGTGTTGGAACAATTTAAGCTACCCTGTGTGTCGGGCATGGTTCGCTCATTTCATGGATAGCAATTTGTAGATGTCAAACAAGTTTCGTTGTTTCTATGGGCGGTGATGTGTTGATCGACTGAGTGGTGGTGGTGGTGGTGGTGGTGGTGGTGGTGGTGGTGGTGGTGGTGGCAATCAGAAAAACGTCACTATGAATATAAAATGCTTGCACAATGATCACAACGTGTCGGGCAGGCAAACATCAGCAGCCAATCGAAACGAGGTCGCAAACCGGGTTCGAAAAATGCGAGCAAGCGTGCAGAAGCAGTGCCTGCTGCCGTGGCCAACATGAGCAAACGCCATCACGAGGAATCGTCGTTAGGTGGCGGGGAGGGGAGTCTCTTCAGCGTTGTCAAACTGGGGCAAGTTGCTTTAATGGTATGTTGGTTGCCTGGCTGGCTGGTTGGTTGGTTGTTTAACTGGTTGGTTGGTTGATTGTTTGTTTGGTTGGTTTTTTAACTGGTTGGTTGGTTGTTTGTTTTTTGTTTGGTTGGTTGGTTGGTTAGTTGGTGGGTTAACTGGTTGGTTTGTTTGCCTGTAGGTTGGTTGGTTGGTTAGGTTAGTCTAGGTTGATCATTTATTCAATTTATTTAATTGACTAGTCATAAATTCATAATTGTCTCTAATCAACCGTTCATCACTGCATCAATCAACCAACATCTACAATCAACATGCCAACAATCGCTCAACCAATCAACCAACCGCCGACCAGACGGTTGTGGATGAATGGATCGAATCGTACAAGCGTGACAGGGACACACACCTCCTCGAACTCATCCAATTCTTCATCCACGCTTCGGGGTGCAGAGGTCAGGTGACCCTGCACATGCAAAACACCATGGAACATGCCGAGATCATTAGGAAGATGACTGAGGAGTTTGACGAGGTTCCTAGTGATGTGTGCTTCGTTCATTCGTAGAGATGTGCAGGGTGGTGATGTGCTGGTTGAATGTGTGGCGGTGGTGGGTGGGCAGGATAGTTTTTTTTATTAATTTTTAAAGTTTTGCTCAGTTGAATGATGAATAAATTGTTTATATCGGTCAGTAACTGCTTTTGAGAAAAATGTTCGTAATTTGTTAGGAAAGTGGGGACTACCCGCTGATCATGACGGGCCCCCAGTGGAAGAAGTTCAAGGTGAACTTTTGCGACTTCATCAGCTTGTTGGTGAAGCAGTGTCAGTACAGCATCATCTACGACCAGTTCCTCATGGACAACATCATCTCGCTGCTCACAGGCCTCACTGACTCGCAAGTGCGAGCTTTCAGGCACACAAGCACATTTGCTGGTCAGTCCCTGTGGTCCGGCATGGTGATGATAATTATGATCGTGGGGATGGTGGCCGTGATGATGTTGATGATGATGATGGTAAAAATGAGATGCCATGTTTTCGTTGATCAGAGTGGTGGAATGAGTTTCAGTTGACTACAGAGCAGTCTTATCAGTCACTTACTTGTTTCTTCGCTACAAATACGGACTTGATTATGTTTCCTGTCAGAATCTCTAAATTTTTATAAACTGCATCGTCACCAAACTCCACCAACACCACACATCAACTCGTCTGTCCTTACTCGACCATTCACGATTTCTTGCATACGATACATTTCACGATGTTCGCAATAACTCGCGTACAACCATCCGACCAATCACCATCGCCCAGCAATGAAACTGATGACAGCATTGGTTGATGTGGCCTTGAACTTGAGCATTGCCCTCGATCACACACAGAGGCAGTTGGAGGCTGAACAGTCGAAAAGCAAAAATAAACAGGCAGCTGATCGTTTGGAATTGTTGACTGAAAAGAAAAAAGAGGTTAGTTGATTGATTGGTTGGGTGGTTGATTAGTTGGGTGGTTGATTGATTGGTTGATTAGTTGGGTGGTTGATTGATTGATTAATTGGTTGATTGATTAATTGGTTGATTGATTAATTGGTTGATGGTTTGAATGATTGATTGAATTTTAGTTGTTTGTTTGTTTGTTTGTTTGATTGATTGATTGATTGATTGTTTGATTGGTTGTTTGAGTGATTGATTAATTGGTTGGTTGATTGTGTGATTGATTGATTTATTAATTGTTTTGTTAATTGTTTTAATAACTTTTGGTAAACTTTGATAGACTGAAGATAATTTGGATGAGATTAGGCACATGCTGACGTACATATTCAAAGGAGTTTTTGTACATAGATACAGGTCGGTTCAAACTTATTGAATAAAATTTGGTCAACTGATTGTTTACTCACATGTTCATGCTACCATTTCATTGTTTGCCTGTTTTTCTAACCAACCAACCAACAAACCATTCAACCAATCAACTAACCATTCAATTCAACCAATCAGAGATATTCGCCCAGAGATAAGAGTTATTTGCACCAATGAAATAGCAGTTTGGATGAAACGTTATCCAACCATGTTCCTCGATGATTCCTACCTTAAATATATTGGATGGACACTTTGCGATAGGGTTGGTCTTATTGCACTCACTCACCATGCTTTATTTCTTTATACTTCAAAAATCTTTTCAAGTCACATGTCTGCAGATGTTTGCAACTTGAATTGTGCGTGCATACTGCTCGATCGATGAATTCATGTTCATATAATTAACAATATATACATTCACTTCTATCTCCAGCAAGTAAATAAATTCATTTGATTGTAAATGTAAATAAATTGGTTAACATTGACCTATAGGTGGGTGAGGTGAGATTGAGTTGTCTCAAGTGTTTGCAGCCATTGTACGATACGGAAGAATTTGCTCCAAAGTTAGAACTATTCACCAATCGATTCAAAGTATGTCAACCTTTCACTATTCATCGCATCAGTTGTGAATGTTAGTGAGATGAATGCAGTGCTGTTGGGCAGGGGGGCAAAATTTGAAAATCTTTCAAAATTTGACTGGGGGAGCCAAGAAATACCCCAAATGTTCGCTTGGGTGGCCAAAATTAGACTGACGGCCTTTTTCTGTCTATTGCGACAATTTTTAGTGCATTTTGTACTTAAAAACAGAAGTGTTTTCCTGACTAAAAACTGAGTTTTACTGACTTTTAATAGCACTGCTGACAACGGGGCACTGGTCTCCTAGACCCGCCATTGGGTGATTGTGTTAATGTTTTGGTTGAATATTGATGAGATGGTTGATGTCGATGCTGGGGTTATAATAATAATGCAGTGCAGGGCATTTTCATTCAACCTCAAAACAAAATCAAAGGTGCAGGAGTTATGCTAAAATAACAAATGCTAACAAAACAGTTAAAATTAGTATTCACAATAAAATTTCAGAAATTTTACGTTCTACATCTGATCACGTTAGCTCCATTTTGAGAGATTCACATTCGCGGTACCATTCACTTTGATATTTCAGTTTTTTTTAGCTACCAACCAACCATCTCATTAATATTCAAGCAGAATATTAACATCAAGCACCTCATTGCTTTGCTAGCTTAGGCATCGTATTGTTTCTAAAATTTCCGTAAAATTTGTGAAATTTATTTCTTTTTATAAACTATTCACGTATCCACCAACAGTGGCCACCACAAGACATGCAATGCAGCCTATCCGTTGCCCGCATGTTCAACTTCATAACTTTTATTCACCTATTATTGTATGGTGTTGATTATGAATACATTTTGAAAATGGAAATGAAACGAGATGAAATATATACATACGGCACATAGCAAGCGTTGTTAATATGTAATACATAGATTATACAAAAAAAAACTGACATATAAGAATGTTCGTACAAATGTTCATTTATGCCTACACGCGGCTGACTTCAAACCAATTGTTACAGTGCGTTTCCAATATATACATTAACACATATATTATAGAAATGAATATTAATGAAATGTTAATGGGATGGCAGATGTTAATGTTATAAATAAATATTTTAAGACAACTCTTAATTACCTGTCAGGATCGCATAGTGGAGATGACACTGGATAAAGAGTATGACGTCAGTGTTCAGGCCCTCAAACTGGTCATAAGCATATTCAAGTGAGTAATTAATATTCATTAGTTTTTGGATATTCATAAGTCCATTAATATTCATAAGTTGTATTTACACCTGTTGAATAAACTGGCATGGGCTTAGGTGCAACTGTCAACCATTCACTTCTGAAAGTTTCAACCACAGATGCCTCCTGTCTGATTGTTTTTCGTTTATGCAATTTTGTTCATTTATTTGAAATCACTTTTTTTAAATAATTGAAAATTGAGTCTTCTAGCGGTGATTGATTATTTTATTTATTTGATATTTATGGGTTTGTCCAGATATGTTTGTTTTATATATATATATATATATATATATGTGTGTGTGTGTGTGTGTGTGTGTATATATATATATATGTGTGTGTGTGTGTGTGTGTGTGTGTGTGTGTGTGTGTGCGCGTTTAAACTCTGACGTTTTTGCATTAATTGTTTTTTGCTTAAGTTTTGAATATTTTGTTCAAAACGTTAAAATTCATTTATATTAATTAAAAGCGTCTGGATTTTATAGGCTGATGTATAGATAGAACTCTATCTTCTTCCTTATATATATCCCTTTTCATATAATTATATTTATACTTATGCACATCAACCACATCACCAACTTGCCTGCTAAAGATCAAATGAAAGCATCTTGCAAGACAAGGATTGTGAGAATGTCTACGAGTTGGTGTACTCCTCTCACCGAGCTCTGGCGCAGGCAGCTGGCGAGTTCCTCACAGCCAAACTGTTCACTACCAGCAACCAACTCAACAACTCATCTCTACAAAATGCCAAGAACAAGAAGGGAAAGAAGTCTAGTGAGAATGCTCCTTATTGGCGAGATCTTGTTTTGTTCTTCATCGAGAGCGAGGTGATTGGTTGGTTGGTTGGCTGATTGATTGGTTGGTTGGCTGATTGATTGGTTGGTTGGCTGATTGATTGGTTGGTTGGCCGATTGGTTGGTTGGTTGGCTGATTGGTTGGTTGGTTGGCTGATTGATTGAGTGGTTGGCTGATTAATTGGTTGGTTAGCTGATTGATTGATTGGTTGGCTGGTTTGTGGGTCAAGGTTATGGCTGGATTATTTGTCAAAGTGGAGATGATTGATTGATTGGCAGGTAGGTGGAAATGATTGATTGGTTAATTGAATAATATTTAAAGAGGAATTGACTGACTGGATGATGAGGTTTACAACTCGAATGTCTATTTTATGGACCATTCAATGAATGTTTGACTAACTCATCAACCAGCTGAACTAATCGGCCAAATAAGTAAAATGATCAATAAATAACGAACAGTTGCATGAACACGGAGCATATCTGATTGATAGTTTGTGGGACTCGTGTCCAATGCTAAAGGACTGGGAGTGCATGACTGGATTGCTGCTCGACGAACCGACCAAGGAAGACGATGGTCAGTTGCGTTTCAATGGTGCTGTGTGGGTTGTTGGCGGGTGGTGTGTGAATTGGTGGGGGCGATTGTAGGCAGTGTTGGGTGAATTTGTGGTGGAGATGTGTGGATTGGTGGTGTGTGAATTGAGATGATTGTGCATGGATGGATGGAGTGTGGATTGTTGGTTGAGAAGAGTGTGGATTGTTGGGTTGAATTGATGGGATTGAATGATTGTTAATTGATGATTTGATGTTTGTTCATCTAATTTGTCTTTTAACCAATTTTCTAATCAATCAATCAGTCAATCAATCAATTAATCAATCAATCAATTAATCAATCAATCAGTTAGTCAATCATTCATTTAATCAATCAATCAATCATTCATTCAATCAATAAAGTTAAAATAAGTTGACCAACCAATGATGAATTTTAAAGTGCTGGACGACAAACAAGAGACAAGTTTGATAGAGTTGATGGTGTGCTGTGTGAAGCAGGCCTCAACTGGAGAGCTGCCCGTCGGTAGAGGACAGCGTAAACTTGGAACGAAGGATCTGAAGGCCATCTCTGAGGACCGAATTCGAATGACGGAGCACTTCATCGTGGCTCTGCCTCAACTTCTGTCTAAAGTTGGTTCATCGATCGATCCATTTATTTCTTGTCCAGTTTATTAGTTGCTTGTCTGGCCGATTGGTTGGTTGGTTGATTAATTGGTTGGTTGATTAATTGGTTGGTTGATTAATTGGTTGGTTGGCCAAAAGTTTGATTGGTTGAGGTTTATTTTATTATTTCATTTCACTCATAAAGTCAGCAATCATTTCAAACTTTTAGTCCAGCCACTAGCGACTCGATCGTCAATATCTTATCACAAGTATCAGTCATCAACAACATCGTTCGTTTTCATTCACTCACTTGTTCACCCTAGAAATCATATCATGAACGTTTGCTTATCTAATATGTCTTTTAACCAATTTTACAATCAATCATTCATTAATTCATTCATTTAATTAATTTATTAACCATTTATTCAATCAATCTTTTATCAATCATTCTCACTATCTGTTGTGCACTTTCTTCACCCATTATTTCTAGACATCCATCAGATCACTCACTCGCTCGCCAGCCCACTCATCCACCCACTCATCCACCCACCACCCTCTCACAGTACACCATGCACTCGGAGAAGACGAGCAACCTTCTGAACATCCCCATGCACTTCGACCTTGAGATCTACACCACTGGCAGACACGAAAAGGTCAGTATCATTATCAGGATCATCTGGATGTCGCGATGATGATGATGATGATGATGAAGATTTCGATAGTCACGGTGATGGTTTCATGTTGTGAGGATAATGTGATGATGATGATGATGACGATGTTGTTGATGATGATGATGATGATGATGATGATGTTGTTGAGGATGATGATCTGTTGGTGACGTGGCGATGATATTCGAGCAATATCACAGACCCCATCATCATCATAGTCATCTTCATCATCGTCACCTTCATCATCGTAATATATATTTCCAATGTTTAACTTTGGCTTCTATTTTATGAAGCAGCCATTAGTGAACATATTCTGCTCTACAATTCATAACATAATCGTTGCCATCATCACTATCAATTTTATCACCACCATCATCATCATCTTCATCATTATCGTTATCATCACCTTCATCATCTTCGTTATCACCATCATCATCATCATCATTATCGCTATCATCACCACCACCATCATCGCAGCAACTTGACATCTTTCTGAACCACATAGACACCATTGTGGAGCAGCAAACAGATCCTGAGGTGAGTGTTGATGATGATGAGTGTTGATATTTTTCAAGATGGTGGTGATGTATGTGAGGGTAATGAATGTGGTGGTAAAGCATGTGAGGGTGATGTATGTGGTGGTTATGTATGTGGGGTTGGTGTTAGAGATGATGATGATTAACAGTGGTGAGGCTTTTGATGGTAATGATTATTGTGAGAAGGAAAAGATCGGTAAGGGGGATAATGATGATGATAATGATGATGATGAGGAGGAGGAGGAGGAGGATGATGAGGGATCCAACAGAACGAAACCAGAGTGATGCAGTTGGAAATTTTTGTCTTTGAGTCGGAGTGTGAATATTTTGAGGGGCTGGAGTTACCAATCTTTTCCTTCCCACAATAATCATCATCAAAAGCCTCACCACTATTATTCATCATCATCTCCGTCACACACACCACCACCACCACCTACCTAATAAATCCGACTCCGTTTAAAGTGCTAAGAGTTTCACATTTTTTAAAATTTTTTATTCTAAAAATGTTTTTTAAGATCGTATTTTTAAGAAGATAAATTCCTGCTGCGATCATCCTTAACGCTGAAAATAAATGCTAATAATGTGGATAAGATCACATAACTTTGTTTCAAAATGTTTTAAATCATAAATATAAAGCTATTTTATTACGGAAGGTAATTACATTTACTGATTTTAAGCGTTTTTTTTTAAAGTTTTTTTTATTTAGTAGTGATATTTTCGTCAAAATCATGATGCAAAATTTGAACTTTTTTTTTTTCAACTTGGAGTTGGAAATTTTGACACCGACAACCCTGGCTAAAACAATATGTGTGGCCGTCGCTAGGCTACTAAAATTAAGCTATGTTAATTGGAATTAATTGATTGATTAAATAATTGATTTGATTGATTGATTGATTGATTGATTGATTGATTGATTGATTGATTGAAAAAGGATAAAGACAAACATCTTCCGCATCCGACGTTACACGCACACGACACGCCCACACGCGCCACGATATCACGCACGTACACACGCACACACACACACACATGTACCAGGTGTTGAACAACTGTTCGAAAGTGTTAGAGATATTCTGCAGTGATGAGTATTTGATAGGCAACAAGTGCAGTGTCTTTAGGATGACTCTCATTGATAAGATCGTCAGTAGGTACTTCCAAGCCTGTGCCAGCTTCTTTGATAAGGTTGGTTGGTTGGTTGATTGGTTGGAGGGTTGGTTGGATTGGTTGGTTAATTGGTTGATTGGTTGGTTAATTGGTTAATTGGTTGGTTGGTGGATTGGTTGGTTGGCTGGTTGGTTGGTGGGTTGATTGGTTGGAGGGTTGGTTGGTTGGAGGGTTGGTTGGTTGGTAGGTTGGGGGGTTGATTGGTATATTAATTGATTGGTCTGTTAGTTTATTGGTTGGTTGTTGATTGCATGATTGTTTGTTTTGTTGGTCAACTCGATCAATTGATTAAAATTCTTTTGTTATTTCTCTATCCATCGAACATCTTTCATTGAAAAATGACTGACAGAAATATGTACTAATTAATTCACATCACAATTTGCTGAAGTTGTTTTGTTGCTCATGTTTTTAAACTTTTTCAATTAAGTCAACCAACTGTCAATCAACCATCTAGCCAACTAATCAATCAGCCAACCAACTGACCATACAACCAACCATCTAACCAACCATCCAATCAACCAACCGACCATACAACCAACCGTCTAACCAACCAACCATCTAACTAACCAATCATCTAACCAACCATCCAATCAACTAATCAATCAACCGACCATGCAACCAACCGTCTAACCAACCAACCAACCATCTAACCAACCAACCATCTAACCATCAACAACAACAACAACAGGGTTCAGACCCAACAGAAGACGACACCTTTGCACTGTTTAAGAGTTTGGAACGTGTCCATGCATTCTACAGGTTGACTGCTGGTTCTTGCATCTAAATATATTCAATCGATCAGTTGTTTGTTTCAACTGAATATTCACTCAATTAACAGTTTCATATAAATATTTAATAAATCATGTTTTTAGTTTAAAAAATTTTTCAAACCATTTTTTGCTTTGGTTGGTTGGTTGATTGATTGATTGACATACGCGCCACAGTTGCCACAACATGAACAACAACCTCTCCGTTGAGTCTTTCAGCAAGATCTTCAAGGAGAAGTATCATGCACCTAAAGATGTTAGTTGATTGATTTATTGATCGCTTGATTGATTGATTGATTGAGTGATTGAAGCAAGCCTCCTCCAATCATTCAGATACTCTGCAAAGGCATCGCCTGCTCCTTCCTTTCCATCTTCTGGCAGTTGGCATCCCTGAACGAGCAAAATATTAATGAGGTGGGTGGAGCTTCATTCAGTCAATCACGAGTCATTAATTTAAATATTTATTCATTCAATTATTCAACCGATCAAACAATCCATGATTCATCCATCAATCGATTGTTCAACGTAATAATTCATTCACATTATATATGATATTTATATATATCTTGTTATGTCTAAACATTTTTAAAAATCAATTAAAAAGAATAATTGTTGAAAATTTAATAAAAAAGTTGTCTAGTGAACAAATAATTGATCAATTAAACAACCGACCAAATGTACGCTAGAATTGATGATAGGATAACAGAATGGATGAATGGTTGAACAAAGTAATGTATGAATGAATGCGCCAGGATTCGTTGAAGTCAGTGAGGAAGAGATTGAAGGGGTTGATGGAGAAGCTGTGCTTGCTCCTCTCACATCATGAATACTCTGTTCAAGAAGAAGTCAGTGCCGTTGCTGTTCTGTGTGTTGTTGTTTGTGCTCTTGTTTGTTTTGTCGTCTTTGTTGTTGCTACTGCTTGTTGATGAAGTAGCAATGATGTTACAGTTCGCACTGTGGCATACTTTTTTGTATTTTACACATTTTGCTTACATTTTGCTAGAAAACTTTTAAATAACAGCTCTAACGTTTGCTATATATGTTTTTAAAAATTTTCTTCAATAACAAAAAAGTTAAACATTGTTATCGCCAGCACAATCGCGCCATACGACTTTAATAAATTAATTGAAAATAAAATTCTTAAAATTAAAAAGCCCTTATTTGAAAAAGTTGTGGAAATAGCGTGTTTCTAATCGTTGTCAGCAGCCGCAACATTGTCGCTCAATTCCACTTCGAGCTATCTTCAAAACAGCAAAAAGTTTCGAGGTAGGCCTACAACGCAACTTTCATTTGAAGCCTTTCGTTTCCACAAAGTTTTCAAAATTGGTCATTTGGTCATAACATGGGCAAATTTTAATATTTTTCAATGAAATTTCGACGCGTGAAAAACGTTATCCTAAACTTGTTTGCATTTTTTACTGAAACTCTAATGACGAGATGATCTCTGAAAATTTTAAATTTATTTTTCAATCCTGAACCGCAAATATTTTTGCTCTCAACATTTTTTTGTAATTCTTCTTTTTTTTAATTTTTCAAGTATTTAACGTCCTACCTACCTCGGGGGAACTGAGTCTCTGGACGCTAAACCAAGATTGATTGATTAATTGATTTGACGTACGTATCTGGTTTCAATGATTTCTCTAGTTTTTTCGTCTCTTCTTTTGCTCCATACCATTTACCTTCTATTCTTAAAGTCTGTAACCATTTGGTTAAAGTCTGGTGCCAAGAAAGTAAGACATTCATATGATCTCAGGTTTAGGTAGGTATTAAGACTAACCGATTGCCTTATGTTTAAAGCTTTATTTAATTTTATTTCTTCTTATTGTAGCCGATATTTTATTTTACTTTTACTTAATGCAACTAAAAAAGGATTGATGTTAAAAATAAAATTTCCAATAGCTATTTATGTCTTTTAATTATAATAAAAAATTTTAAGATTTATCTATGGACAATAATCTTCTGGAAATGGTAGACGATAATTCAAAGTTGTTGGGCGTCACCATAGATTCACAATTAAACTTTAGAAATCATATCAAACACGTAACTAGTGAAAACAATTTAATCGGCTTACATTACCGCATTAAGCCTTTTCTAAATGAAAAACCTAAAAAAAAAGAAACCGTTCATACTACTTTGACGTGTTCAGATTTCTTTTGCGACAGCTCAATCTTAAGCTTTTATTCACCCAACAAACCAACCATTCAATCAATCACTCACTCACTCGATGGTTTCCACCAACCCGGTGACAGGCATACATTTCCATCTGTGACCTCCTAATCATCTTCAACAAGAACCTGGGCCACAACAATCCCGCCCTCGCCCCCCTCGTCTACACGCCAGACCCCATCATGCAGGAACATCTCATCATGTTCCTCAAGGAGCGAGTCTTTGTTGAAGATGATGATGGTAGTTGTTGTTGCTGCTGCTACTGTTGTTGTTGATGATGATGGTAGTTGTTGTTGTTGCTGCTACTGTTGTTGATGATGATGATGGTAGTTGTTATTGTTGGTGATGATGGTAGTTGTTGCTGTTGATGATGGTGGTAGTTGTTGTTGTTGTTGATGATGATGATGATGAAACGATAGTTGTTGATTTTGTTGTTGCTGAAGATGATGAAGTTGATGATGATAACGACGGTTGTTGCTGTATTTTTAAATTGATAGTAGACCTCTGTAGATTAATCTTCGTTAAAATTATGTTCTTTATTGTTGTTGTTGTTAATGTTGTTGTTGCAGTTGCTTACAAGTTTCATTCATTATGCCAATGGTAGTAGCCAGAGTGACTTGTGATCGTAATGTTGTGTGCATTAGCATTGCTACTTAGTATGTGCTGTTATTGTTTTCATTTGTATCTCTTATTATCGTTCCACTTGTGGTCATCATCACCATCAACTTGTTGATGATGATGATCACAAGATGATGATGATGATCATTCTAATCACTTCGTCTGAACTTTGAACCTTCCGGTCAGAATCGATGGATGAGAACCAGAAGATCGAGGAACTGCACAAGAGGAGGAATCAGTTGGCCTGCTTCTGCAAGCTCATCATCTACAATGTCCTCAAGATCAAGCAGGCTGCTGATATGTTCAAGTACTACATTAAGGTGTGTCCGTATGTTTGTGCATGTATGAGTGTGTGGGGGTGTATATGTATATCTGTGTGTGTGTGTGTCTGCAAATGTGTGTCGGTGTCATTGTTCTTGTGTGTGTCTGTGGCGTGTTTGCATTTTGTTCTCTTGTTTATATATCTGGTATGTATGTATGTATATATATATATATATATATATATATATATATATATAGAGAGAGAGAGAGAGAGAGAGAGAGAAAGAGAGAGAGTTGTATTGTATGAATTCTGCCGAATTGTTGGCATTAATTACTTTAAAGTTTGTCTTGTTAATTTCCCTTACTAGAATTCGTTGGAAATTGTCCAATTTGTTGGAAATCGAATTATTATCCAAGTTCATCATGAGAATTTAATGAAACTGTTGTCATCCAAATTCCTCAAGCTGATTGGTCTTATTTCGATTGAATATGAATTGCGAAAAATCGAAATAAGGCCGATTTGCATGATGAATTTGGATGACAGCAGTTCGATTGAAGATGAATTGTGAGAAATCGTCTTCTTTGTTCGATGAAGATCACTTCAGCAATTCTTAGACGGCTGTGGTTCTTGTGACCGTATATTATACTAGTATTATTGGTGTACGGCTGCTCCCAAATCGTTCGTCGTTTTATTAAGCTTTCTTTGCCAAAACATTCTGCACACACAGCTTAGGTAAGTTGCATGTTCTTGTAGGTAGTCCAACAAAAGCTACTGCATCATATGCGTTCGTGGCGTCTAATGGTTGACTAAAAGATCGCTTCAGCAATTCTTAGACAGCTGTTGATCTTATGACCGTATATTATTACTAGTATTGTTTACTACTATCTCCCTTGATGAGTTCGTTTGGTGTACGGTTGGTTTCAAGGTGAGTTCTAATGGCTCCTTCTCTTTTGGGCATAGTGAGACGACGTTATTTAAGAGGGCATTTAAACTCACACATTAGGTGATATCTTGCACGCCCCCTCAAAATTCAACCCTGGATTGATTTAGAATTATTGTAGTTTTAATATTATTAAAAATATATACAAATAAATTCGATAGAGGAACAGGAAATTCTAATGAAAATTTTTTAAAAACATGCCAGTGCAAACCAGCATTCCAATGTGATGTATAAATTTTACATTCGCAAAACAGTTCTACAACGACTATGGGGACATCATCAAGTTGACCCTCTCGAAGGCCAAAGAAATTAACAAGGTGAGGTACTTTCTGCTGTTAGATGGTGTTGATGGCATCGAATAAACATTACATTACTTACTGATGTGAGGTCATCGGAGGAACTTAAACTCTGCATTCACCTCATGAAATTGGAATATATTTTTTGTTGATGTGCGTGTTGTGATTTGAGATTATCCTAATTGAGGATGTGAGCCAGCAGGGTCCAGTAATCATTTTCAAATGCAGGTTCAGACAGCCAAGACCCTCGCACTCAGTCTCACTCAGTTATTCTCCGTGCTGCAAACTGAATTCCCTGATGAGAAGATCGAAACCAACTCGGAAGGATTTGTGGCCATTAAGGTGCGTGTGTGTGTATGTGTGTATTCTTCTGTTACTCATTCAGTTGTTCACTCATTCAGTTGTTCACTCATTCAGTTGTTCACTCATTCAGTTGTTCACTCATTCAGTTGTTCACTCATTCAGTTGTTCACTCATTCATTCAGGACCTAGCTCGGAGGTTCTCTCAGTCATTCGGCTTGGACCTTGTGAAGATCAGGGAAGCCATTGCATACATGCACAAGTTGGTGGTTCTGCGTGGTGATGGTGGTGGTGGTGGTTGTGCATTGATGGTGGTTTCAGTCGGTTGGAGGTTCGAGGGGGTTGGTGGGTTTGGTTGGCTGGATGTTCTAGGGGGCTGGTGAATCTGGCTGGTTGGTTGTTCTAGGATGTTGGGGTTGATGGTTCTTCATGGCTGATTTATTGCAGTGGTTGGATATGGTGGTGGAAGGTGAAGGCATTGAACTTGCGAAGTGGATCTTATTATTCATTGAATGAGATTTTAATGTTAACGATACCTAGTTTAAATTTATACCTGATCTATCGGCTACTGTACATCATCTCATCCCCACCCCACCACACCTCACCTCAATCACCTCACCTCACCACAAACCCACCAGAGATGGCATATTGTTCGTGGTGAACGGCAGCAGGGATGCAGAGACGGGCGTGCCGAAGAACCTCTCCTTCCTCGAGATCCTCTGCGAGTTCTCCGTCAAGCTCATGAAGCAGGACAAGAAAGTCGTGTTAGTTCACCTCGTTGTTGCTGATGATGTTACAACTTACAATACATCCATCCATTCATCCAACTTACAATAATCCATCTTACAATCCATCCATCCATCTATCCACCTTAAAATTCACCCACTGACCAGCCTAGCCTACCTGGACAACCACTTTGAGAACAGTCTGCGTGAGTGGGGGGACGAGGCGAGTTCCCTGGCAATGTACCGACACAGTCTTCTCATGGGAGATGTTGATGTCTCCATGGCAACCAACAACAAGTCGGCAGCAGTAGCAGCAGCAGCTACGACAAATGCCACTGCTGCAAAAGTCCACAAGAAGAGCAAAAACACCGCCGTTAAGAGGAAACTTTCCCTGGATGGTTGGTTGCTTTTGATTGGTTGGTTGTTTTTGGTTGGTTGTTTTTGATTGGTTGGTTGTTTTTGATTGGTTGATTGTTTTTGATTAGTTGATTAATTTCAATTGCATGGTTGTTTTTTTTTTGGTTGACTGTTTTAGTTGGTTATTTTTGATTGGTCGGTTGAATTTAGTTTGTTGCCTTGTCCTTATTCAGTGTTTTCGACCCGCACTTTTTTATTGATTTTGTTAGGGTTAGTTCATCACTCGTCCATCCATCCATCACTCATCCAACATGGCAGCTGATGAGTCAAGCAATCCACAAGCAGCCGACATGAAGACGCCCCCTCGTTCGACAACTGAACCCAGTCCCGAACTAAGAAGGTCTGCCAGGGTCAAAAGGTCAAAGTTAAATGAGGAGGAGGAGGAAGAAGATGATGGGAGGAATGATGAAGAAGGAGAAGTGGAGCACGAGTCGTTAGTTGTGATGCTGTCATTGGTGTTGATGATTGATCAAATGATGTTGTGGGTGTTGTTG